TCATATATATATATATATACAGAGAAGCAGTATGTACTCTTTAAAACTTTTAGAGTGTCATTTTGAAGAATGAACTTTTACTTTTAAAGATTGAAAATTGAGCTACTCTTTTTCAAGACTGACTCAATTTTTATCCTTCAAAGTGAGATTTCACTTCAAAGAATTTAAAGAGTACATATATCTTTCTCCATCATAAGATTTTGACAAAATCGCCGGATTCTATTATGGGATCTTTAGTAGTATAATAAGTCGAAGCGCGATTTCTCCGCCTTGAAAAGAAGTGCGCTCACCGAGAGATCTTGTCTTGCCGCGTGACGATCGCCCTCGGCGTGACGTTCTCCTTCAGTTGGACCGCCAATCCACATCGGATGCTCTCGACTACACCAGCGGTTCCGCTCTCGCCCCGCAACTCAGGATCACGGTGATAGTAATGGGAGTCCCTCATGTCCTCCGGCTCAACGTCCTCCCGCAGGAGCCATCGTTTGGTCACCAATATACCGGGCGATTGCACGCCGCCAATGAATTTGTGGCCCGCGAAGATAATCGCGTCCTTGTGTACCGCGGTCTCTTCGACTCCGGGTAGATGCGGATTCATGTCGATTGGGACGTACGGAGCTGAAAAAAACAACATTGATAACATCGTAGCGTCGTGCCTTCTATCCCCGATACTGAACCGCTTATCATCTGTCCATTACATAACGTTCGAGCGCTTATGTAAAAGATTTTAGTATTACGAGTATAGCATCAATTAATATTTAAGTTATCATTACGAAGATATTTATTTTACACGCATCACACATGATGGAACACGTAATTCGCTTGACACATATCAAAGTCAGTAACCGCAACTAAAAATCCTCAGCAGAATGAGTGCAATGTAGAAAAATTAGAGTGTATATTATAACCAATTTTGATACAAATAATGAGTGTATTAAATCAATAAAGTTTTTATGTGGCTATGGATTAACTCAACATTACTCACGTGATTTTTTTTAATCATTCGCGTTTCTGACACATTATATCTCAATTTTCATAATTTTCTTGATAATTTACAATTAAATAAAGATTGAAGAAAATTAGATAATATTTTATACATACTTTAGATAAAGATAAATGCAGAAAAAATTTCTTTAATCGTGAAACAATTTACGCTAAATATAATAATGTGTATAAATAGCATTCTCTCTCTCTCTCTCTCTCTCTCTCTCTCTCTCTCTCTCTCTCCCCTCTCCCCCCCCCTCTCTCTCTCTCTGTCTCTCTGATCGTTCTAGATATACTCCACTTCTAGAACCCCACGCGCGTGAAAGATTAATTGATAGCTCGTTTTTTTTACTAATTTTGCATGAAAAGAATAATTTTACTGAAATATCTAAAAATTTAGATAGATTCAGATCTAAAAATAATTTTGTTAAACTATTAAAATAATTATGTAGTCCAAATATGGTGAGTAATTCTGCAAAAAATTTTAACATTTCAGCAATCAGTTTGAACGTCGTACACACAGAAAAATATCACTCTATACTTACTAACAGAATTTGAATCTTTAACAAAGAATATTTTTATAATAATCTTAAGCTATACTTATTAAAAATTCTAGAAAAGCTCATTACATATTCAAAATAAGAATACAATTTATTTCCTTGTGAAAAATGTTATAAAATTGATTGAAAAAGCGACTTTATATAATAAGCAAATCGAATTTGTATTAATTTAATAATCCTGACTGAAATATTAAACTTACTAGGATTCAGAATACATTTTAAATAAATTTAAATGATGATGAACTTATAATAGATTTACGGATATATGATCTTTTAAATTATATTTGAAACAAATAATCATTACTTGTGTACAATATGTATTTTTTTGTATGTACATAATTATGTGTATACATAATTTAATGGTCCAAATAAAATTATATTTTCAGATCTTATATTTAACAAAATTTTTAAATATATCAGTAAAACCATTCTTTTCGTGTAGCTCGAAAATTACATGCTATGGTAATCGATTATGACCGATTGGATCGGTTAGCAACTGATTTTATACTTTGATCAATCATTACCTGCGGTGGTATAATCCCACACGCTAAGTGCGCCATATTGATGCAGCAGGAGGGTCGTCGCGACGTCATCTGCCAAAACCCCCGTTATACAACTGGCAGCGCTGAAGCATCCGATCATTTGCGCAACGCCCTCGCTCCGCATTCTTGCGAGGCCCCGTTCGAGATCATTCAGATCCAAGAAGCCCTCCCGGGTCTCGGAAACTCGTACTATCTGTAAAAACAATTTAATTGCTCTATCAAAGGATTCGCCGCTCGACAGTGGACTCGACGTCTGGTGGGATCGTGTCTGCAATTAGACGACTGTGAACAATCAAGCGTCAATCCCCGACTATTCAAGATTGAGAGGATCCATTTTTGTGGATTATAGTGCGCCTTGAAAATATTTATACGGACCGTCTCAAGGCCTTCACGAAATTTATTAGAGACAGATTTTTTGAAGTCAATGTCCAACCGCTTGTGTTATATTTGAAGATACGTATTTGTTATAAAATAAAAACATTTGTAGATACAGAAATATCATTTATATTTTACAAGCTAACGAATTAATTAATCCTTGGACACACAATGATTTTCAAGTATATTATACACACAATGACTGTCCGTGTATCAGGTTCATTTTTATCACTTTAAGTTTATAAAAATTATTAAGTAATTCTTACATATATTTCAACATCTTTAGAGAGTATTTGTATAAAGTTATGCATTATAAAAAAATAAAAGAAAATATTCTCTAAAACATTTAGAGTAAATCTCACTCTGAAGAGTGAAATCTTATTTTTGAAGATTGAAAATTGAGCCACTCTTTTTTTAAAATGGGAGTGGTTAATTTAAAATATGTTTATTAATTTTGTTCACTGTTTTATAATAAAGTAAAAATAATATAGAATGTTTAAAAGAAAATGTTTATAGAAAATCATTTTTACAAAATATTCTCTTCGTAAAAGTAGCCAATTATTTTTGTTTGCTAATCTCTAGTGAGTCTAGGTGATCTAGCTGTACAATTATTTATTTTTTTTACGAAAGAATCTCATCCATTTTCTAAAATGGCTAAATTTCTTTTTAAAGTAAGAGAGCTTTCACTCCAAAGAATTGAGAGAGAGTAAAGATCATTATTTGGCAAGATGCTCTTATTGTTAGTATTTTAAAAGAAAAATGGACATGAATGATTTAATCGTACTAAGGATCGATTAACGATTAAATTGCTCGACCTTTGAAAGATGTTAGATAATAGAACAAGAAGCGACGCATATCAGGGTCGCGACGAGTAGGTGGAATGGCCGCTCGCGCAAAACGATATTCGGCATGCTGCCAAAATTCAGGCTAGCTACGCCGCGTTTGTTGCGTATACCGTACGAATCTCTTCACGCATCTCCTACGGCCATCACGGCCCGCTTTAACGATCCACTTCGCCGTCGCTGCATTTTACTGCCCGCCCATGCTTATCCGGCGCTCGAATCAGCCGCACGCTGACTTTTCCACGCAAATTTATCTGCCGACCGTCCGCTTACCTTGACATCGAGCTCGCGCCAAGGCCTCAGGTTGGCATGATGCTCGAACGGACCTACGAAGACTACGGTGGACTTGGAAAGATCGAGATGCCGTAAAAGTGTGCGAAGGGCAGCGGCGGTGCCTTGACCGGTGAACAAGACTGCATCCTGCTCGCTAGCCCCGACTGCGTGTCTGACGATGTCTCTGGCCTCATATCTGCAACAATAAACGTACGCAAATGTATGGAACTGACCTTCGTGAAATTGGCGATAAAGGCCAGTATTAACAGTCAGTTCTTATTTTAAGATTGTCTTAACCCCTTCAGACTCTGCGTATATTGTAATGTACATCAAGACATTATCTGTTGAAATTATTTTATTTTATCGACATCATTTGAAATCTGATGTACATAATAATGTATGAAATGTCAAAAAAATAGTCAAAATTAAAAAAAAAATAAATTGGTTAATATGAATCACTTATTATTAGTGTGCATGAATTAAATTAAAAAAAAAATGTTAACATGGTTCCAATAAATCAGATCTGAAGGAGATTAAATAATGTCTTGAGATACTAAGATGTAGTTCTTTGATGATTTCATGACATCTTAAGACTGCACTTAGGACAGTCTTAAATATAAGAATCAATTATAAACACCAGCCAAGAGTTCGTTGGCGCGATCTTACTCGCGTGTGGGAAGTTGGCATTTCATCTTTTCGCACCGCAAGTTTTGATGCAAGTTCTATTTGCACTCGTAATAGTTCTTGATAGTATAGTTGATAGATTTTAGAAATAGAATTCTTCTTGTTGGAAGAAGGTGTTGACAACGAGATAGTACAAGTTAGACGTGAATAACGCGGCCGCCGCGCTGATTCATGATAATAAAGCTGTATGTATTGGACAACTCCGGGTATTCATGAGCAGCTGCGACACGTGTAAGTTCGTTTGACTCGGCCGACTGACACAGAGTCAATATGGATTTAGCAGCGTATGACGTGTTGTGAGACAACAGACAGGTCGAGGAGAGCGATGCATATCTTACAGTTTGTACAGTGTCCATCGATTTCGCAGCAAGCATTAATCATAATTAACGAGGACTCGAACAGCATTGCGACAGCACGTCACTCAAGAAAGTTAATTACGTTAATTTCTCAATTGTTAATTTAAGTACCTACGCTCGTCGTACAACATGAGATATTTATCCGATTGATATTTCTTTTTATTTAATATTTACGGGAAATTTACAGTATATGATATAATGGTATGGAATGTATAGAATATTAATATTTAAGACAAAAATGTATATACGCAGGTCAAAGGTTTGAAATCATTAATGAAAATTGTCTACTATGTGAAATAAAAACAAATTTATATATTATAATTTAAGATGTTTTTATTACTTTGTTTATTGTTTTATAACAAAATGAGAAATAATATAAAATGTTCGAAAGTTTCACAGAAAATATTTGTAAGGTATTTTCTTCATTAATTAAAGTAATCACTCTTACATTTAATCACTTTTTTACTAGGTAATCTAGTTACAAATTTATTAATTCTTTTAAGACTTTTTCATCTTCTAAAATAACCTAGTTCAGTTTTAAAAAAAAGATTTTATGTGACTGTTCAATTTTCTTCTAAATTAATTGAAATAGATTATTTCAGAAAATATCTATTATATGAAATCAAATCCAACTCATGATTTAACATGTTTTTATTATTTGATTCTTTGTTTTATGTTAACATAGACAATAAAAGGTTTAAAAATTTGACAAAAAATATTTCTCACAAATTTTTTACCAGTAAAAAATATTAAATACTTTTTTCAAAATTTAATATCTCTTATGTTTAATCGTTTTTTTATTAATTTGGATAATTTAACTAAAAATTTATTTATTTTTTCTAAACAACTTTTCCACATCTTTTCCCATCTTCTTAAATAATTTAATAGCTCAATTTTGAAAAAAAAAAACTATGATTATAATTTACTTTTTTGAAATCAAACAAATGTTCATCACAATTGTAAATACAATCCCTATTTGCTTTCAAATTAAAAAAATATTGAGCAAGGCATGAATCAAACTTTTAAGTAGTATAACTGGAATTTTCTAAAATTTTATATATGGTTACTTAAAACTTTTGGTTGGCAGCATAAATATAAATGAATTCTGGGTTGCGATTGAATGTCACGCTCTGCTATATACAAGCTGCATAATAAATTATGAAATGAAAGCGATATACGTCTCAAACGATGCTGCTGTCCCCCAATGGAGATAAACAACATCAGCAATCTCGTGAGGCAGAGAGAGATTAAAATTGCGGGTCACGGTAATTTATTGCATATTGTGTATACATGGCCCCTGAATGTGTCATTCGTCGCAATGATGAGACCATCGTGTACATCGTTATCATTATCGCGGTTTTTTCGAGGACCACTGAATAAGCATCACGATTTTTAGGGAAAAAGAGGTAGATATTGATCTGGGACATCAGCGTAAAGGAACCAAACGGAGGAATCGAGATCGTTTCGCGCATCCCTCGCCACTATCACCCGATTGAGATAGATTTAAAGCAATCCGGTCTATGTTTTTCTTCGTGCCACCGCAAATGGATCAAAGATAAAAAATATCCGGACATAAAGTGAAATCATTTTTTCACTGCAAAAGACTTCAAAAATGCCTCTAATTATTATTACAAAATTTGTTTTATGTTAATTTAATTTATTTCTCATCTCTTTCCAATTCTGGATTTTTTCATAATTGGAAGGAAATAAGGAATAAGTTGAATTTCGATTAAGAGTTAACTATAAATTGTAGAACTAGACTCTAGTCGGACAAGATTTAAAAGCGATCCAGTTTACGTTTTCCTTCGAAAGTCGTCGTCGATGATAACGCTGATGATAACACTTAGACGATGGGTACTTCATCATTAAGCGATTTTTTAATCGCGACGCCGATTAAATTTATGTTGCGACCGAGAAAGTTTCCAGCGGATATCTTTCAAAACAATATGACGCGAACAAAACGACAGACTTACTGTCGCGACTCGTAACTCGTTGCTTATCGGAATGTCGGATTAGAAATCGCGACAGACGATAACTTGATTTAATAGCAGACGCGTTGGCGAGAGGAGCGAATGTTTCTCGTCTCAAACAAGTCAAAACATGAACGCCGCGCCTAACGCTATTTGCATACAAAAATTAATGCAAGATCACGCGGATGAAAATTCGTATATCGACAATACCGCAGTGTCCCAGTTACATTGAAATGAAATATGAATAAGATTAATTTACAGCTTGAATAAGTGAGCGAGTGAACGGATGAGAGTGAACGAGAGAACGTTTTATTATTCGCCAGAATGAGATCCTTTCACGAGCAATCGATGTGAATACGAGAGAGGGAAATTAGATTACGTTAATGAAATAATAATTACGATCAATATTATAAAGTGAAGCCTACACGGAGCATGAATTAAAAGTTAAATAGAACGGGATAAATAAAAAGTTTCATTTATGGCGTAAAAGTATTATTGTACAATAAAAGAAAAGGAGAAAGATGTGTGTGAGATAGGATTTATAAATAAAAAAAAAAAAAAATTAAATTCTCATCATAATAAATTAGAATAAAATGAACGTTTCTTTTTGACTTCTCGTAAACAGATAAAATAATTTTGCTAAAGTATCTAAAAATTTGTGTAAATGCAGCTAAAAATAATTTTGTTTGGGTTATAAAAATATAGGAAACTCGAGCATAATGAGCAACGTTGCAAAAAGTTTGGACATTCTAGCAATCAGTTTGAGCGTTCTACATAATAATTTTGATCCAACAAAATTATTTTCAACAAAAAGATTTATGTGTAAATTTTTAGATACTTTAACAAACCGTTCTTTCCATGTACAATTCGTACATATGATCTCAACGAAAGCGACTCTTCGCAAAGCTACATTTATTCTTCTAAAGGACGAGGACTTTTCGAGCCCATTATCGCTTACCTAAAAAGAGAGGACTGTAGACTGCAGATGGACGTGGATGCTCGAGTGTCGCCCAAACATGGCAGCACCTCCTTGGCGATGTAATCTTCGAGGAACTGTAGTGACCTTCCCGAGGCGGTATAGTCGCAATAAACCACTGAAACACAAAGTGATGATGGTGAAAGGTAAACGTAAAATATAACTTTATGCTTTCGCGAAAAGTTATCGCCGAAATTACGAAAGTTTTATTTTTATATTTATTACTTTTAATCTCGTCGAGCAAATTGCCGTCATCGCACACTTTATTTTATTGCGGATACTCCGAATTCATCAGAAATTGCTCATTTATCAGATTTGCTACCTATAAATTGATAAACTATAACGATGAAATAGTTTGCTGTTGCTGCTATAATGTAGGTATCATAGCTAAAACATTAGCTATAATATCTATATTTTAACTGTCCATATTTTTTACACCTATCATTTAATTACTACATGTAACTTTTAGTTACAGCAGCTATTTTCTTTTTTCCGTGTAAAAATTAAAAATAGCATAATATTATTTAACTCAAGGAATTAGATTACTATTGCTCTTTTGATATCTAACAGTGTAGATTCAATAAAAACCTATAAAGAAGGTACTCGTAAGATCAACCATATTAAAGAATTTTGCGACAATTGCAAAACTGCTTTCTCTGCTAAACGCAGCCAATGTAGAGAACGAACGTCGTTAGGCAACGAGTTATTTTTTAGTCCAGAAGAAAATATTTTTATTTAATTTCTACATAAAATTCCGCTTATAAGAGTTTATCTCCTACTCGATTCGCGCGACTAGTGTTGCGCGAAGACGCAATTCGTCGTCCGCAAGCGAACAGCGTGGCAAATATAGGACGGTCTATTTGAGGATATACTTTGTCGACGATGTGTCGAGGCGTTAAAATATCTGGCGTAAACTACAAGAAGCGTATTTCTGTCGCTATTTCCAATCTTTACCGAGTCGAGTTTACCAGGGAGAAACGACAAATTGCAAACACCGTTACGCTGATTAAAGTCAATGTCCAGAGCATCGATTTATGATACCTATCACTTCGAGACTCGTTCAGAATGTTACCCGGTATCAAACCCCCCCTTCTTCTCCCTTCCGATAGAAAAATGCCAACAGAACGATCAAATTACACGAATCGCAGGCTATGCAAAATTCGCGACGCAAAATTTGTCGCATCTTCATAATTACGTCATGCACCGCCCACTTCCGCGACCGGGCACCGAAAATCTCGCTGATTTTTACAAGTGTGAAACACGATGCAATTTTATGTACACTGAAGATGTCTAGGATGTAGGAATACTACATGGGAAGGACGATTTTATTGAAGTATCTAACAAAATTTAATTATAGAGATACAGATCTGAAAATAATTTTGTTGGTCCATCAAAATAATTATTACGTAGAAATTCCAATCATGATGTGCAAGGCTGCAAAAGTTTTAACATTCTGCAATCAGTTTTAAGTATCCTACTTAATTATTTTGATAGTCTCACAAAATTATTTTCAGATTTGTATCTACAGCTAAATTTTTAGATACTTCAACAAAGTTCTTTCTGTTTAGGATTATCATTGCACATAAATGATGGCTGAATATAATGGTTACCTAACCAGGCAAATTTTAAATTTCTAATAATGGTTTTAATTTTAAATTTAACTAACCAGAAACTGGCCCCAAATTATATTCAGCCATCATTTATGTGCAATGTTAATCCTAAACAGAAAGAACGACTTTGTTGCAGTATCTAGAAATTTAGCTGTAGATACAAATCCGAAAATAATTTTGTGAGACTATCAAAATAATTAAGGATACTTAAACTGGTTGCAGAATGTTAAAACTTTTGTAATCAATTTTAGAAATCAAATATAAAAGTCATTAGAAATTTAAAATTTGCCTGATTAGATAACCAGGTAAATTTTAAATTTCTAATGATTTTATATTGACTTCTAAAATTTGGGATCAATTTTTAATTGATTACAAATGTCGTCATTACTTTGAATATGATCTGCGCAACAACAAAAATGTTACATCTGGTATTCTTACATCATAAAAGTGCCATCGATTTGAATAACGTAGCAAAAGTGTTTCCAACATCTGTCCTTGTCTGTTTGAAATCTATCTATGCGCTTGCTCTATAGATGACAATCGTGTACATTTACCTACTAACTTTACCTACTACCTAACTTTACGCGATATATATCTTTGTAATATTAGAATTTCAAAACTAACTTTAAAGAGACAATCGATGTATCGCAGTGAAAATACCTAAATAGACAAGGACAGATGTGGAGACAGCGATAATTAGGGCTGTAGCATACAAAATGCATAAGCACAACGTAGTTAGCGTAAGATTGTATGAATCAATGAGAATGTTATGTAAATCAATATGACAACTTTATTCTGGATGCTCATTTATCTTTGCGTGCAACAGCTATCAGTCATGGCACTTCTACTATATATTCACTCTAAAAAATATGAGTGTAAATTTAACACTACTCAGGATTTATGTAAATCTCACCCTGTTAATGTTGATATAAACATCAATAGAATATAGATTTAACATTATGGATTTTAAATCCATATCATGACAATCCATGTCATTATATATATATATA